GGGACACTGAGGTGATCCGAGGGCCGAACCCGTTCCTCGTCGGAGTTGGTTTTAATGTATCTTGTTCCCTGAGAAGTAGAACGTGGTGCTGTATGTAGAGAATAGTCAATGTGTTGAGATAAGAGCCAGACACTGATCCCACCCATTGGCTGGGCTGCTGCCAGGCTGGCGGGGGGTGCAGGGGAGGTCTGGGCGTCCCCCCGAGGGCTCCGGCCCATGCCAGGCGGCGGGGCTCCCAGCCTCCTCTCCCTGTGCGCTAGGCCCGAGGAGGCCATGCTGGCTGTGAGCGAGCAGGTGTCTCAGGAGATCCACCAAAGCCTCAAGAGCATGGGCCTCGCTCCTCTGAGCAGCGACAACACAGCCTCTCTGATGGGACAGCTCCAGGACATTGCCCACGCGCAGAACTGTGTCCGCAGCGTCATCGGTGAGTGTCCTGGTGGGGAGGCCGTGTGGCTGAGGGAGGCTCCCCTTGGAAGTCGGCCGCTGAGCCACCTGCCGGTAAAAGGCGCGATCTCTGGGCAGGTCACGTTTCAGGCTTCAGTTTTCCAAAATGTTGGGTTGAAAAAATATATCTTTTGTAGTTGAAAGACGGACTCTGGCTCTAAGGAAGATCTGCACCAGGAATTCATGACTTCCAGGTGTGGCACACGCCAACCACCCTATTGGCCCATCCCTGGCCTTCTCGGTCATTTCTGACTGCAGTCTTAGACAGGGGACGTTCACCCCTGCCCACAGGCAACGCTGCTGGCTAGGCTGGTGGCCACTCCCCTGGCAGGGACTCCTGCCCCCACCGTCCCACGTGGGAATGGAGGCTCTGAGCTTGGCCTTGCTCTTAACCTCAGCCGTCCAAGGGCTCAACCTGAGCGCCTCCTGTGTGTCATACCCTCATCAGTCACTGGTGGCTACTAAGCCAGCTTCGGAATGGTCAAAAACATACTAGCCACTGGTTGCCAATCCTTGCTTTGCCCTTGAGGGCTATATAGCAGCCCCTCCTCCCGGTCCCCCTCCCCAAACAAAACAGATTTCCGTGTCAAGTGAGGTTAACTTAGAGCTTGGACCAGTGCAGGGCCGCTTCTCCCCGAACGTCGCCTGCCGCTTCCCTTCTCACTGTCTTTCCTGCTCGCAGATCAGCGGATCCACCTGTTTCTCAAATGCTGCCTGGTTCTCGGAGTGCAGCGCTCTCTGCTAGACCTCCCCGGGGGCCTCTCTCTCATTGAGGCAGAGCTGGCAGAACTGGGCCAAAGGTTTGTCAACCTAACGCACCACAATCAGCAGGTGTTCGGCCCCTACTACACGGAGATCCTGAAAACCCTCATCCCCCTGGGCCAGGCCCCGCAAACAGGAGTGGAGTCCCTCTGATGGACCAGCCCTGAGCCCTGGCGCCCTGATCCAGGAGAGAAGCCCATCGTTTTCCTGGGTGACATCACAGAGATTAGCCCAGCAGCAGCCTCCCTCCCTCCTGCAGCCAGTACCAGCGCTGTAGTGACCACACATGTAAACACCAGCGGGCCCCACGCATTCACTAATAAACTTGTGAATTGCCAGCAAACGCGCACTCTGTGCAGCCAGGGCCAGAACTTGTGCCCTTGGCCCCCAGCGAGCTACGAAGCCAAGAGCCGAGCTGGGAGCCAAGGCACCAGGCGCTAGCGGGTTTTGTCTGAGGGCTCAGAACCCTGCACAATGACCACTATGTGAGTATAATGGCTCCTGTGGAAGTTAGAAACTTGTTTTGTGCAGTCCAGCTCAGCATTGGGCATGGTTGTAAGGAGTCCTTAGGAATCTGTCTCTAGGGCCTAATTCCCTGAGGGTTTCCAGTGGAGCAACACGAGGTCAATAAGTAGGGCTTCCGCTTCCTCTTCTGCAGAGGGGTCTGGAGCCCAGTGCAGCCTGGGTAAGGTGGGTGCTGGCTGCTGTAGGCACACTGGTGACAGGTGTCAGAGCTCATGGCGTCTTGAGTGTCAGAGTTCAGGCTTGGACAGTGAGGCCAGGAACTTACCTGGGCTGTTTTCCTTGGCCCTGTCCTCTAGCTGAGCGATCCTCCTGCCCCCCATCTCTAAGCTGAGAGCGCTTCCTGACTACATGCTGGGCCTGCAGAGGTTTGGGCTCTGAGTTCCTGTTGGTAACACAAGTGAGAGGTGCTCGGAAAGGACTGGCTCATGGATATCAGCCGATGTCCTCAGGTGCCTGCAGACCAGCGCAACTTAGCAGGACGGAGCTGAGAGTGCTCCATTCAGATTTGGTCCTTACCCCCTTTTGTAACGTGCAAGAGAAAGTGGAATCCACATATGTGCTCTCCGGGTAGGGTAAGGAGAAACAAGGTTCTCACGTTTCCAGGGATGGAGGGAGCTGGTTATAACACTTCCTCCAGGGAGAACCAATAAGGATTGAGTTCCATTAGCCCAGGGCTCCCCCCATGGGCTTCCTTCTTAGAGAGCAGAGCCCGGAAGAGCTGGCCAGCACAGCCGCCTGTAGTGTGGCTCTGACCAGAAAAGCTGGGGGTCTGGACCTTCGTTTCCAGTCTCGTAGCCAGACACCCTCAGGGTGGAGAAGCCAAAAAAAGGAGTACACTCTTGGCCCTGAATCTGGTTTACTACACACTTGCCACTTGCATTTGCGTTCCACACACTGTACAACAGCAACTTTACAGAGTGCCCTCTTGCACTCTGGGGCCCCTCAGGAGATGTCAGAGAGTTGGTTTCAGATTGATCCCCACACACCAGGCCGAGGGAAACCACCTGCCAGAGGGACTTTGCTCACTCCACAGACACCGGGGAGGGACCGAGGGAGGTTGGCTCTAGAGTGTGATGGGGCATCTCACCCAGTCACGCCCCACCAGCCACCTTCTAATTAATTTCCTTTCAACGCACACTAATCCATGCACTGAGGCACTAGTGTTTAATAAACAACAAGGCTTGCCTAGATTCAGCCTCTGATTTTCAACAGTTAATTTGAATATTTAAAATCCTACATTTTGGCCCAGGCTGCATGGCTCAGTGGTTCCATGTTGACCTGTGAACCAGGAGGTCACAGTTTGATTCCCAGTCAGGGCACATGCCTGGGTTGTGGGTTCAACTCCCAATGGGGGTATGCAGGAGGCAGCCAATCAATGATTTTCTCTCATATTGCAGAAGACCAGAGGAAAACCAAGCAATGCTTTAGAGAAAAGGAGTTACACTGTTTATTACCCCGGCAGACTCAGTGGAATAACTTCCCAGGTCTGAGCAAAGTAACGTGCAGGGGCTTCTCTTTTATATCTTTCTGGTGCCTCTGTCCCTCAGATATGGACTATGCTTCCGGTCCTTTTTGCGGGCTTTGCCAAAAGGCCCCAGGTGTTGGGGGTCTCCAGGCCATATCTAATGGTCTGGCCTGGCGCCAGCACTAATAGCCCCCCCCCACACACACACACACATACACACACACCCCGGGGCTGTATACTGTTCACAGTTTATGGCCTCTGTGAAATGTGAGCATTTAGATAGCAGGTTCTGCAAGACGGGTTTCTGGGAAAGAGGCAATGGCTTAATTACAGGTTATCAAGCATGTACACTGGGCTGGCTGGCACAGATTCAGATTGCTAGCCCCCCAAATATCAGGGTTACATTGGAATTAGCCTTTTGAGCCGTCTCAGTCACTGATGTTTCTTTCTCCCTCTCTCCCTCTCCCTTCCTCTCTGAAATCAACATAACACCCCCCCCCCTACATTTTGGAAGCCTCGTTCTCTTAGAGTTGTTGGAGTTTTAAGAGTTCTTTATATATTGTCAGATATGTAATTTGCAAACATTTTCTCCCATTCTGTGGATAGTGAGTTCACTTTCTTGATCGTGTCCTTTGATGCACAAATTTTAATTTTGATGAAGTCCAGTACTTCAGGTTTTGTTTTTATGGATTGTGCATTGGGGGTCAAGTCTGAGAACTCTGCCTAGACCCAGATCTCAAAGGTTTTCTCCTATGTCTTTTGCTAAAAGTTTTATGTTTTCCATGTAAGTCCATGACCCATTTCGAATTAATTTTTACATAAAGTGTGAGACTTTAGTTACTTTTTCAAAAGCCTATGGGTATCTAACCACTCCAGCATGATGTGCTGAAAAGTCTCTCTTTCCTCCATTTAATTGCTTTTGTTCCTTTATTTTTTATTAAAAATCAATTGGATGTTTGTGTGGGTCTCTTCCTGGGTTGTCTCTTCTGTTCAATTTGTCTGTCGGTCTCTCTGCCATACCACACAGTATTGATTGCTGTCGTTGTGTAATAAGTCTTGGAATTAGACAGACCCAGCCCTCGCACTTTATTCTTTTTCAGAGTTGTTTAGCTACTCTAGTTCCTTTGCCTTCTGTAGACTCATCTTGCCTGTAACTACAAAAACCCTTGCTGGGGTCGGATAGGTTTCATCTTAAACCTGTGTATCAATTTGAGAAGAATTGGCATCTTTACTATTCTGAACATCCCAGTCCTTGAGCATGGTCTCTTTCTTCAGTTACTTAGTTCTTCTTTGAGTTCTCTTATGAGCATTGCGTAGTTTCTATCATACATGTTCTGAACATGTATTGTTAGATTTATTCCTAAGGATTTTATCTTTTTGAGTGATTATAAACAGTTTTATTTTTAATTGTATCCACATATTCATTTCTAATATACAGAAATACAATTGATTTTTGTATGTTTATGTTGTGTCCTGTGAGCTTGTTGAACTCATTGATTCTAATATTTTTTTTTTTGTAGACTCTTTGGAATTTTCCACAGTAGTCCCTCTTATCTGTAGTCTCACTTTCCATGGTTGTGGTTACGTGTTCAACCATGGTCTGAAAATATTACATGGAAAATTCAAGAAGTAAGCAATTCATAAGTTTTAATTGCACATCATTCTGAGTAGCATGATGAAATCTGAGCCGCCCGTCTCGCCTGGGTGTTCTGTGTTGCTCCCTGCCAGGCAGTCAGCAGTCTGGGTTACCTGGCTGGCTGTTTCTGTACTACAGTGCCTGTGTCCTAGCACCATCATTTCACTTAATAATGACCCCAAAGGGCTAGAGCAGCGATGCTGGCAATTGGAGTATGCTACAGAGAAGCTGTCAAGTGTATGTATGCATTGGCGAAAACATAGTGTATGTAAACTCTGGTTCTGTCCGAGGTTCCAGAAGTCTGTTGGGGGCTTGAATGTATCCCTCATGGATAAGGGAGGACTACTGTGATCTGCAAATAGGGGCAGTTTTATTTCTTCCTTCCTGATATGAATGGCACTTACTTCCTTTTCTTGCCTTATTGCACTGGCTACAACTCCCAGCACTTTAATGTTGGTGATAATGGAACCCTTTCCTTGTTCCCAATCTTAGGGGGGAAATTGTCTTTCACCATTAAATATAATATTAGTTGTAGATTTTTAAAGGAAATTCCCTTCTGTATTAGTTTCCGATTGCTACTGTAACGAAGTACCACAAATGTAGTGCCTTGAGCCCATGCAAATTTATTCTCTTTTAGTTCTGGATGTGACAAGTCCACAACGGGTCTTTTGGGTTAAAATTCCAGTGAGTACAGGCAGAGCTGCAAGAGGCTGTAGGCATGTATTAGTCCGCTGCGGTTGCTGTAACAAATCACATAACTGAAAGGCTTAAGAGAAACAGTCCAGGAGGCTAGAAATCAGAAACCAATTTCACTGGGTCAAAATCGGAGTGTTGGCAGGGCTACATCCCCGCGGAGTTCTAGGGAGAAGTGTCCCTGCCTCCTCCAGCTCTGGTGGCTGCTGGCCTTCCCTTTCCGAGGCGGCCCTGCTCCCGCTTCTGCCTCCATGTCCCATGGCGGTCCTCTTCCAGTGTGTCCCTCTGCCTCTCCCATAAGGGCACATGCGATTGGGTGTAAGGCCGCGCACATAATCCAGGATAACTCCCATCTCAAGACCCTTCACTTAACCACACGGGAACAGGCCCTTCTCCTTACAAGGCAGTTGTTATGGACTGAACTGTGTTCACCTCACATCCACACAGTGAAGTCCTACCCCAGCACCCAGCATGTGACTCAGGGAATAGGGCCATTGCAGACGTAATTAACTTGTGGTTATACTGGAGTTAGGTGGGTCCCTGATTCAATCTGACTAGTGTCCTTATGAAAAGACACGTGCCATATGAAGACAGACACAGACATACACGGTGTGACGACTCGGAGGATGCCATCTACAGGCCAAGGGACACCTGGGCTGCCAGCCGCTGGGAGAGGTGGGGACGGATTCCCCCTCAGCCCCCGCAGGAACCAGGCCTGCGAACGCCTTGGTTTCAGGTATAATCTTTGCTTCCACCATCAAACATAATTAGAAAACTCAGGAGAAGGAAAGTCTATTGTATTTACCCATGTTTTTCCTTATGTGCACTTGCCCTTCCTGATGTTGCAAGGTTACTTCTCGTACCATTTCCTTTCTGTTTGGAAAACTGTCCCACCATCCCCGCAGGGCATTTCCCTTCAGCCTGAGAATGCCTTGCTCCTCTTCATTCCTAAAGAACCTTTCACAGGGTATAGAATTTGGGG